TTTTTTTAGAAATTTGTAGGCGCGATATAAAGAGCAGTACTATACAGAGGGCATTCTTATGGTTTATATGAAGTTTCGGTAAGAGTAGGAAATATTTAAGAAGTATATTATTATCGGTAGTTGTAGGTGTTTGATGATAGTTTAGAGGTGGTTTTGTGATATGTTAGTTTGGACGTAAATGTTCAATCCCTCCAGAGGTTGTTTCTCATTTCATGGCAATGACGAATAGATATTGGTCCGTGTATCTGACATGAGTATGACGTTATATTATCCCTGCATTCTCTGAGCCATATGAATGAGAAACATGGCTGAGAAGATCAGTCAGATTCACTTGAGAGATAACTGAGACTTTTGGGTTTAAAATAATCGCTCAAGTGAACATTTGAGCCGGTGGACTGAAGCAGAAAAGGTTATTGAGGGATTTTCGGTTGAATTTTTACGAAAATAAGATGTAATATGAGATGTACTTGTTATATCTCATTTTGGAAGACAAGCACTAGAATGCGAAGCAGTTTAAAGCTTTCAGTGTTTTTCAAAGAATTATTACCAAACATGGTACGTTTCAGATCGCTATTATCGTGGGGTATTATTAACTCTGTATATGAGCTCCTTCAACATTTGTTTGCAGAATAAATTATCTTATCCTATTATCTGATCGATTACACCTTATTTCTGTGACATTATTTCTCTTATTTCATTTCTACTTATTTATTTTTTCAAAATATAATTTTAGGAGATTAAGGCATTTAAGAATTTTCACTATCCTTCTAGAGCCGCATATGTACAGTTTGTTCCAATAAATTTTTACCAGAATAAATAACCTATTTGCAGATGTAATGCCATGTAAAGTTTTTAATCTGTCCACAATATCATAACTTTCCTCAGTTCAGAAACACTTATGCTCATACATGACATTAGTTTCTACAAAACGACGTGTAATGTTATGTTTTATAGATAAGAAAAGAAAATTTTTCAAGTTTTTCATTATTTTTCACATTTGCTGTATATATCTGTAAATAATCTTTTATCTTGATAAATTTTTATGCTATTGTCTCAAGCAGGTAAAAGACATGAAAGTTTGATTTTCCTCTTTCATTTTTTCTTAAATTATTTATTCGCCACATATGTACAGAGAAAATTTTCAAGAAAATCCTATATATCAGATTTGTATTGCGCCTGTACTGGTCATCTGTTTTAAATAAGAGATTTTCTCATATAAGTCAGTTCTTGCAGTTTATTTATTCAGAATGTGCTCTTGTCTAATCGTACATCGTTTTTTCTACAAAACCTCTTGGTATTGCATTTTTTCACTGTCAGCATCTATATTAAAGAGGAATAGTTGAGTTTTGGAAATGATGCATTATTTATCCATTTTAATGTAATTAAAATGGATAAGTAATGCATCATTTCGAAGACTAATGAATACCACAGTAGTTGCTTTGATGAAATTGAGAATCTGAATTAAGCAATCTGGGAATTCTGCATACAATGAAGGAGCTCGCACAGAATTTTGGACTGGAAAATTTGAAAATGATAATATCATGAAATATATACAGGTAATGAGATCAAATGTGCAGCCATAATGCTCTTTTATAGGACAATTGAGTGTATTCTTTCATGCCTATAAGGGATTTATTTCTGTTCATTCT